AGATTCTGGCATGACAAAATCTAAAACCAGTGAAAGTCACCTTGCTTTCAGATACCCTTACTGAACAACATGATTCAGTAACTTGGTTCTTTGTCATCAAATCTGCATAAATTTATGATTGCAGCTTGTAGATGGAAACAGTGATAAATATGTGGAGTCAAATTAATTCCTGATGGAAATGTCTTGAAATTTACAGGCTTGCATCAGTGGTAGAAATGAGGGTATAACACCATCATGGAAGAATTTATCTTTCATTTTAGTTTGCTTTTCCCTATGTGGAATTGAATATTTTAGCTGGGATTGAAGCTTTGTGATGATTTGGTTCTGGCTGAATCTTAAAAAAAACTTATGTATGAATGTTCAATCAAGAATGAAAATCAAACGAAGTTTTCACTTTGCTAGGTACTGCAGCCACATGTGATCAGTGTTTGCAGGGTGCGAGTTGTCACAGCTCCCTAAGTCATTGAGTTGAGTAAAAGAAGATAAAATTACTTTTGTGGAGACTAGACTGAAATTTAATAACACTGGAAGGCATGTGACCTGCCCAGCTATCACAGGAACCTGTGATCCCTTCTCTTTTCCTTGTGCCACAGGAACTCATTGTTTGAGTTGTTGCCCTTCAAGGAAATGACAGACCAAACTCACTGCTGCCTTAAGAACCACAGACTCATTTTGGCAGACTTGCATGAAAGATGGATTACTGACCTCTAGTTGCTGTGGACAGCCGTGAAAGGAATGACTGATTGTCTTGCATTAACAGCAGGACAGACACTGCAGGCCACTCTTGAGCTAAGGGGTATAATGTATTAGCTCTTAAAAAAAAAAAAAAAAAAAAGCCAGATAGGTGCATTTTTTTGCCTCTCTAGATAAATGTTGGCCAAAGCATGCACTGGAAAATGTGAGATCTTGATTGTCATACAGGCTGTAGCTGCTGATGTTCCATACCATAATGCTGGCACACTATGCTTTTGAATTTTATCCTTTATTTCCATAACAGTAATGTGATTCAGAAGGCAATCAGCCCAGTATTTTGTCATTGTGTCTTTAGGACTCCTTGCCAGTAGCAAACTAGCTGTCAAACAGAAGTTGTGTTGCCTCTAAATAAAACACTTTACATCCAACAAGTTCAAAGCAGCTTTTCCAAATTATTTCACAAAGAGTTTTGTTCCCCACCACCTCCTCCCCTGAGCAAATATGTTTCAGCATCAGCACTAAGTGTGTGTTACTAAAGTGTGCCCTAGTTAGCTGGGATGTAAAAAAAGAGATTTGTTGTTTTAAAAATATCCTTTTTTTTCCTCCCCATGGGCTGTTACTTTTCACCCTTTGTTTCCTAAAATCCTCTATGTACTTGCTGCTGGCAGATTGGTGTTTAAAGTCAGTAGCTAATGCTCGACTTGAAAAGAAATGATGAAATAAAATAGACTTAGAGCAAAGGAGGGTGCAGGTGGGAGGGGAGTGCTGGACTCGCGTTCTCAGCCAAGCAGCCCTCACTGGGAAGCTGTTGGAATTTAGCTGCTTGAATATAAGTAGTCAGTCTCCATGCAGCTTGCCTTCTGTCCTGACTTTGCTTTGACAGGGCATCATTTGGGCCACTTTAAAGTGCTGCTGACAGGTTCCTTTCCTTAGTTTTGTCTAAACTTTTAATTTAAATCCTAAACAAACCTGCAAATAGCAAAACAAGACTGGTGTTTTACTGATTATTCATATTATTCAACTTTCAGACTGACCATCTGAAAATTCAAAGGAATGTGTATTTGTCTCCCGAAAGAAAAAATGTTATGCCATTTTATAGTCTAAGTTATTGTTTGTTTTAGTTAACAATGAAAAAAGTCTGTGTCTTCATGATGCAGTAACTCATTAACTGCTCGAGCCTCCTTTGCTATTTTGGGTACAATGGGATATTTCATGGCTTGATCTCACACTGATGACAGGGGTTTGCATGCAGATGGGAAGGATGGAGCCCTGCCTTGTCAGCCCTCTGCCACAGCATCCAGCAAGTGCTGATTTGGGAGGCAAGGCTTGGCTCCCCTCCAAAGGCTTAATTCTAACAAGCGGCTCAAAACCAGCTGGCAACCTGCCACGTTTCCCATTGATGGGTTTGTGTGTCCAGACCTACCTTTGACCTCTCCAGTCTGTTTTGCTGCAGTAAACACCTGAAATTTGCTCAGCTAATACAAGAGCCTTGTACTTTTTACAGAAGCGCCTTTGGTTAACCTCTGCGGGCTGTATGCTGCAATGAAATGAAGGGTGGTAGAAGTTAAACAATGGGTGTGACTACCACAAGATGAGTGTTAGTGGGAAAGTGGTGTAACATCCACTTAAGCATTCCAGAGATGTGAAATATAATTATGATTTAAATGCCAAAGATGTAAATTACAAGATGAGTAACTACAAGGGCATGAAAGCCTCCCTTATCTTCCCTTCTGTCCCACTCAGAATCATTTTGCACACCCACAAAACTAATACAAGTAGTGTCACTTGATGAAATTACACCTGATACATGACTTGTACCATCACTTACATTTCTGTCAGCGTGGGCTCTGTTTATACAGAAAAAAAAGAATTTGAATCTCATTTACGACATTTTAAGTTGGAAGTAATTTTGCTCTTGGTGGAATTGTATTTACACTCACACTCAGATCAGAAACTCAGCCAGGCTTTGCATTTTGTCCTATTTGCTCTCATCCTTTCCCGAGATAGAGGAGGGTCCTCTGTCTGTGAAGGGCTCCTCACACTTTCATTAAGGTATCTTTCTTTGTAGAGATGGTTTATGAACAGGTCTGTGATTTTAGAAGTTGTTGACTAAATGAGCCACGGGAGCAGCTGGTTGCTGAGTGTATGTGAAGAGCTGCTTCATGTCTTTCACATCCTCTGGTGTATGTGGGAAGGAGAGCAAGAATGCAGAAGTGCAGCCCATGCCTAGGTGAAGGGCTACACAGTTCTGTATCAGTTCCAACACCAAGAAATTAAAGAAAATTTTAAAAATTCTAGCTGGGGGAGCAGAAAATGGAAAAAAAAAAAAATTGTCGGTTCTAAACTTTTAAACAAAATCTTTATAAACAGATTCTGGCTATGTTCAAAATCCCAAAGTGACAGGTGTGAGGGCAGAGGGCATGCACTGCCCCAGGCTGTGGCCTTGGGAATCGTCTGGTGCATAGATCAGAATTTAAACCTCTACTTTAAACAGTTTTCCCCCTGACATTATTCCTCTTATTTTCTTTATAGATTACATGAAAACCTAAGGGGAAATTTCCTAGTGCAGTACTACCTTTTATTAGCTGCCAGGAGGGAACAAGGAGCATTAACAGCCCCACCAGAGGTGACACATTCCAATAAAAGCAGAGGGGTGAGGCCAGGAAGGGCTCTAGGTAAGAACCTGATTTGGGATTCAGCTTGTGCTAAGGCAGCCCTTGTAATTGAACTATTTATTTTCTGTACAAAATACATACTTGACAGAGGGAAGCAATGATTTTTCAGATACACATGCATGTGTAGCTTTGTGTATGACTAATTTTATTGCCTGAAATGGAGCTGTAGAGTGGATAAAGTGAAGCATTTATTCCAAAGTGTTTTATGAGCTGGGACTACCTAGCTCTTATATTGTGGATGTTTCCTAGAAATACCATAAATATTTACCAAAAAATGCTTTCTGCTGGGTAGGAAGAATCATTTTTATATCTAGGGAAAAATAAAAATATGTGATTGGCTAAGCATTTTAAAACAAATAGCAAAACAAAAGTGTTCTCTCAAGAATAGAGAAAAACAGTTTTAACAGTCTGAACTTCTTAAGTTCATAAAACAACAAATCTTTAGATCATAGCAACAGTTAAGATAAGCAAGAAGCAGCTTTTCTCTCCCACCGAGGCAGAGCATGCTCCCTCCAGAGGGGACTCGGGAATGGCCCTGCTCCACACTGTCCCCGGAGGAGCTATTCCCAGAGCACAGGTCTGCCTTCAGGGTAGGTGCAGCCACAGTAACTGCGCTCCAGGTTGTCCTGTGGATCCTGAGACAGTGGGATAATGTCCTGTCCCTCACACTAGTTCCTCACTGCATTCATATACTTACTGCGCAGTGCTGCTGCATCTTCCTTCAGAGCAGTAACGTACCTTGTACAGCTGTGGAGTTCCTCAAGCAGAAATCATTGGTTTTGTGAATCTAATCCACGTCAGAAGTGCTGTTATTCCAGCAGTAGGTTTGTGTCGGAGATATTCGTGGTCTGGCATGAAATAGTGTCACCACTTACATGACCAAATACTCATTTACATAGAATAAGAATAGGATTTCATTCTTGGTTTCTGACAAAGATTCTTATCACACCTGGAGGCTGATTCAGTGGGCTCAGCAGGTTCACAGCTCTCTGAAAGTGAAGACATTGATGACTTTCCTAAATCCACAGTTAGTCTGCCTCTCCTGCAGTGCTTAGATAAAAAAGCTTTCATCACCTTTTCATCACATCAAACTCCAGCTGAATCATTACTACATACTGTAGTGGTATCACAAATAAGCTTCTCAGCCTCTGAAACCTATACTGGTTTTCAGCAATATCATGCTGGTTTTATCATGTATTTTATTCACAGATTTCAAGATGCTTTGCAAAGATAGAGTCAACATTGCTACAACCATTTCACAGGAAGGGAGATGCTCAGTTTCAGTGCCTTGCCCACTGTCTGTTGCAAAGCAGCAGTGCAAGACCAGCTGGGCATTCTTGTACCAGGCTTGTGCTTCAGTATCGCACTAAAGCAAGCACTTAACTTTGAGAAGCAGCTCAAGCTGTTTGAGTGGAGACAGATTTAAGTATCAGTATAAATACTTTGCTGGACTGAGGCTTCAGCTTTCAACAGCTCATTATTGTTTACAGGTATTTCAGGTTTTTTTCGTATCGCTTAGCAGGTCTTTAGGTAATGAAAATATCATTAAACTAATTTAATTGTGTGAAAAAGTGTACTGCTTGCTGGCCTTTTAGCACCTCAAATGTTTGGAGTTTTGTGTTACTTTTGTAGATGACACCAGTTACTCGACAAGAAGTTCTTGGCCTTTACCGCAAGATATTCCGAATAGCCAAAAAATGGCAATCAGCATCAGGACAGATAGAAGAAACTATGAAAGAGAAAGAGTACATAAAAAATGAAGCCAAAACATTATTCAAAAAAAACAAAAATGTGAGTTTCCTTACAGTTTTGACTTTCTGAATTATTCTTCTCTTGCTTTTTGCACTGGCTCAGTGATTGGATGCTAAGATAGGAATATAAAAGTTGATTTCCCAAAATCTCATTCACCTTAAATGCTGGTGTATTTGGGTTATAGTTTAAATTTCACCCCTGAAATAGCCATAAGAAAACTCAAACAATTTCAACTCTTCATTAACCACTGTAGAAGTCTAAAAAGGTTAGAGATTTCACTGAAAAAATGCCAAGAAAAAAATTAAGTTCTGAGGATACTGCCTATGTAATTGAAGCAGCTTTTGATCTTTTAGAAAGCTGGCTAAGTGTATCATTACCCATGCAGTGGCAAATAGAGCTCAGTAGCTTCTTCTTTTTTGTCTTTTCAAATCAGCAATTATTGGCACTTCTTTTAAAAGATGCATTTTCACTTTTTTCTTAAGGAAGAAGTTTCAAAACCCTTTTGAAAGGGATGATAAAGACTCCACAGTAATCAAAGGTCCTTGTAATTCAAGACCACAATACTTACTCATATCCTCTTTTGGTCTGAGCCTAAATCGAAGCAATGCAAAGTCAAAAAATTAATTTAAGTTACAATTTACAGCACATTTATGACTTCAAAGGGTGTTCTTGGATAGGATGATAACAGAATGTAGACCAAGGAGTCTCTTCCCTTTCTCCTCTAGCTACCTTGCAGAGTGATGAATGGGTGAGTGTTTTTTTCATGGACATATTAGTAGTTTACATGTGTATTGTCTTTTTACTGAGAAAATGCCATATTTGGGTAAAAAATCTCCTACAGCCTCAGTTGTGTCAGCCTCTGGGCCTTAATATCCAGCATCATCAAGTCCAGAACTGTTGAGTCAGGGCAAATATTAATGTTACCTTTTATGGATGGGAAAAATAGAATCATTGTATCCTTGGGATTGCCAAAACAAGCTAAAGAAAGTCATGGGGCTGTGTATCCTTTATGCTTGAGCTTCCAGTTGCTAATTGCTGTACTTGTACAAAAGAGTTGTTTGTATGATCTTAGGTAACAGACCCAAAGCTGATTAAGCAATGTATAGAAGAATGTGAGGCAAGAATAGAAATTGGACTTCACTATAACATCCCCTATCCAAGGCCTGTGAGTATAAAACTAGTCACAAAGTCTTCAACTATACCCACATAGCTCTCACTGGATGATGAAACCAAAAGTTCTCATCACTGTCACCACAACTGCATTCTTCCTTAAGCCAGTGATTTAAATGCTATGCTAAATCAGAGCCAGATAAACCAAATGAAGCCAAATGTGTAATGAAATGTTCTCCCATCTATTTAATTTCACTGTAAATTGGCTAATTTCTTCTCAAAATGAAGAGTCAAAGCCTAAATGGAGCTGCATGGGCTAAACTCAATATTTAGGCATTCTTGTCCAACCAGTGAATGTAGAAAACAACAGTAATGGAATCAAAACTGTTAACCTTTCCATACAATAAGAGAGAATAAAAATACTTCGTTACATCTGCCATAGATACAATAATTTTCATAGCCTACATTACTAGTAACTGTTCTCCTGGTCATAAACCAGGTCTCACAAAGCACTTGCCTATGTTGCTGCTGCTTTTCCCCTGTTCCTAGAGAAGGCCACGTCAAAGATTACCAAAATGCTGCGGTCTCCTGTTGCACCATTCCGTGTAGTTTCCTCACTGCCCAGTCACTTCTGTATCTAGCACTTCATGCTGCCTCCCATAGAGGCTTCCTCTCTACTCCTGTTGAATAGTAGATATTTTCACATCTGTAGTTTCCTTATCAAGGCATTGATGGTCAACATTAAATTATCTTAATCAGATGCTTACCTAGAATATGCTCACTGTTAGCATCTGTTTCACATACAGCTTTTTCTTTTCCCCCAGTACACCTAATAAGAATACACATCTAACAAAATGCTCCTAGAAGTGAGCTTAAAAATGTATGCTCTGCAGTGGCTTCAAAATCTGAAAGGATTAGTTGTAGATGAGCTCTCTCAGACAAACTGGATGATCTTTCAGGTTCTAGAATCTCTGTTGCTACTTTAGTCAGTGCTCTTACTACGATTTGCACCTAAACAGCTGTCTTACAGGATGACAGCCTCAGCAACAATACCATCTGACTGCTAACACCTACATTTTTCAGTCACTTAGGGGGGATATAGCTGCATGACTCCCACCAACACTCTTATGAAATACAAAGACTTTGTCAGCCAAAGGAAGAGCCTGCCACCTATTGCTCCTTCTGCTTGTGGAGTCAATGACATTGACTGTGCATCATGACAATAAGAAGGCAGTCTTTCAATACATACAGTTTGGGGTCATTCTGTGACTTGTTAGGTAGGTATGAATAAGCACACAGTGCTTTAAGACATCTACTCCTGAATTTGTAGGGTTTTCTTGGTCTTACTGTTCTGGAACATTGTCAGCAGTCCTATTTCAACAAGTATTTTATCACTGCAGTCTGATATCAGGCTACAAAACATGGTTACTAAAGCCTTAAATATACAGGTTTTTAATAAACACAACATTTAGGGCCTGAAAGTTACAGCACTAATCACTCCTCAAAGAGAGCTCCCCCTAGAAATCAAATAACCTGGTTTGAGACAGTACAGTTGCCTTTTCCAAAGTGTGAAGAAATTATTAAAAACCCAGTGCAAGCTAGACTGTCTATATGCCTTTTTTTCTTGTAGCTTCTCAATATGCACCTAACTGCTGGTATTTTCTTTTCCAGATCCATCTGCCTCCTATGGGTCTTGCCCATAAACAAGGCCGCACATTGCGACAGCAGGAAAAGTTAAGGAAGATTTCTAAGCCAATATACCTGAAATCCCATGATGAAGTTTCATAACCCATCTTTTAAACTGTGAACTGCAATCCAAGTGATTTGTGTGCACAACTGTGAATGAAGCTGTTTTGGTCATTTGCTCACAGATGTCTTGAGGCCAAAAAGCTAATTGATACATTGCATATGATGAATAAGTATCTAGTATTTATTACATTTCAACCACTGAATCATCAATAAAGTGACACTTTCCAAGAAGTGAGGTGTGATACAAAGATTACTTTGACATCGGGGCAAATTGCAGCAGGTTTTCAAATCCTGTTAATCTATAGCAGGGTTCTCTGGTAGTTTGAGGATTATATTTGCTCAATTGTGCTTCAAGGCAGTGTCTTGTGTAAGATCATCAAAAATCAGGAAAGTCCAGGAGAATCAAGCAGACATAGTGCCTCCAGAGCCTCCAAACACAAGTGGGAATACAGTGACCATACCACACAGTTACACTCCTGCCTCTCCTGCCCCTGCTCTGTCTGTTAGCCCTGGAGAAGCATTCCAGTTTCATAGTATCCTTATGGTGAAGGTAAATGCAAAGTTAAATGGATGTTAAATGCAAAGTTTGGAATGGTGTTACACAGCTCTGGAGTAAAACATTCCAGTGTTGGGTTCCTCAGGTTCCCATGTATGGACTGATTGAAAACTCTCCCTTCAGGATATCACTATGACAGAAAGCTTAAGATGCTCTGGGTGCCTACCCTGTGCATTTTTACATGGTTAGCTTTTCAACATAATCAGCACACTCGCTTTCTCAACAATTAGTGTTACCTTTCAGCTCTTACATTATGGACAGAACCCAAACTTTATTATAATAAAGTATCTACAACTATCTATCCAGTCTCTTAAGTTCTAGGGGTATTTGTGTTTTGCAGGTGCCTCATGAATGGAAGTGAAACAAAATTAATTTTCCCCTTACTGGGCATCAGATTGGTTTGGCTGCTTTTCAGTCCTCTGGCTTTACCAGGCTGGTTACAAGTGCTCTGCAGGGAAGTTAGGGGAGCCTTCTGTCCTTCAACCTAGAGCTACGAGTGAGACCAAGCTTTGGAAAAGAGCCACACTGTTCTGGGAGAATACATAAGCACAGCCCACAGCTGTTTTAAGGACAGAAGGTATAAGCAGCAACCTAGTTCAGTCAGAAGTTATTGGTGGCAAAAAAGAAAATATGAGAAAACGCAGTGTATATTATTTGGTATTACGGTGGGCAATTTTCTCATTTTCTGAGCTTTCCAACTCTGTAAACTCTGCAAACCCCAAAAGAAAACAGCAAAGACATATTATTGTTTAGCTTAAAAATAAGTTAAAAGTGGTCACGTGCAGAATAGAATGACAGTTCCTCCTCCAAGAATGTACTTGTACGAGTGAAAAAAAATACAAGTGGATGAGAAAGTACAAGGAAATAATGAGAAGACCGCATCAGCATGACAGGCACTGGCTAGCCCAACTTCTTACTACCCTTCATGGCTCCAGTCCACAAAGGTATCTATTCCCATATAATTATTTCCTGGGAATGCCTCATGTGGGAAGTAATACATAAAATGCCATTGTTCTGCCTGTTCAGTGGGAACTTCACAAATTTACTGCTGCCAGGAAGACACAAACCAAAACTTTAGCCTAGGAAAAGGGGGATGGAATAAAGAAAAAAATAACAGGATTATACACGCTGCTTAATCCTTCACTGAAAGAAGTCCAAATACAGTCTTTTCCTATCGTCATCCTGATACACCAGTGTAGAGATGTACTGAGCCAAGGCAAAATATGCAGAGACAAGGGTTTTGAATGGAAGCTTAGACTCATGCTTTGTCATTAAATTATCATTTGTACCTTTTTTAATTGTTAAAATTCATGCGGATAATGAAGGTGACTCATCAGGTGCATAAGCATCTATGTAAATCAGCAGTCTAAATCTACTGTCTGTATTATAGTCACAACTCCTTGCCAACCACATACTGTAAAATGTAATCATTTTTTTAAAAAATCCCTAAAATTACAGAAGATTTACACCAAATTGAAATAAAAATATGAGTTAATTTCTGAAGGTAAATCTAGAAAAGCAAATTTTAAAAGGCTCCAGTACCGTTAACTCAAATGAGTATCCACTTGCTTAATTGAAAATCCAGTAAGCTGAACTGCAGTAAAAGCATTGTATTACTTGAGATGCTTTAAAATGACAGATAGCCCACTAGTTTTTCAAAATAAGTGTATAAGAAATTATTAACTAGTGCCTGATTCTCATTACTTTCCAGCAGCAAGAAGGCAAAGGCTGAAATTTGTTAAAACCCCAGGCTGTTCAGCTAAAGGAAGGATTAGATCAGCTCTTTTGTCAAGCCTGGAGAGCAAAACACTTCTTTCACAGCTTAAATTAAACTCTGCATGGAAAAGAGAATCTGCCTTACACCGAGTCCTTTGTTCCTGGAGGTCAAACTGGCAAACGACCATTTTTAGGGAGTTTCATTACAAAAATTTAATCTGCGACTCAGTCCAGTGGGTAGGCAGATATCTCAGCTGGTACTTGCATTTAATTCCAAGGACCAGACTTCTATCAAGAAAAATCCCAATGATGGTGCAATATGTCAGTCCTACACATTAATTTTACTTGCAAAAAGATGTCGTCCTAAAATGCCTCTGAGTTCTCAAGAGTTCATAATGCACTGGGTTCAACCAGTCAGTGCACGCTCTGTCCTGTACTCCCTCAAATTTCATTTATTCCCCTTCCCCGGTCTCTTTCCAATTTATCACACTAGTCAGTCAACAATTTAGAATAAGGTGACATTAACTTTACATTCTTTAGAAGTAAGAATCCTGGGCCAGCTGCATGAACTGCCCTGCAAGCTAAGTGGTAGCCAGTGCAATAGCAATTGGTTGACACATTATCTGGCATTGAATATCTAAATAATACCTCTTCTTTGGAGCCTAACTCCATCATTAATAAGGTTTTAGCATATGAAGCCATGCACTTATTAAACCAGATTTAACCTTAACATTAGCAAGCACACAATTACTGAAGAAGATGGACTCAGCACCTGCTTACTGAATGTGCCCTGACATTGTTCTCTAGGGGCGAGGACACTCATTGAGTTGCAGCAGTGACCAAGGAAGTATCAGAGAACTGAAACAGGTTAAGATGGATTGGCTTACCTGATCTACCTTCTTACTAACACAGGCTTGTTCTTGAAATACCTTTCAGATTTGGAGAAAATAAGGCAACCTGGATCTTACTCTCATGGCACCCTACTATGTATCCATCAGCGACATCCATTACCCACAGACAGAGAAGTCACTTATTTGATCATACCTTTAAATTAATTTTCAAGAATGCTAATTACAGGAGAGGACCTGCACCTTTCACTAGTTTTTCTGATCCTATTAGGCAACACATTCTAGCTTACAGGAACTCCTAAGTAGGATAATTCTGGGCCTTTGTATTGTCTTTTTTTTTTTTTTTCATTGTATATTTCTCCCTTTAACAGCCTGAGAGTTTTAAAATCAACAGAGATAGTACTTTCTGTTTCTGAAATGGATTTTTGTACTGATGAAATAAAAGACAGGTTTCGATCTCCTAAGAAAATGTATTAACCCTATATGACTTACAGCAGCCCCAGCTGAAAATCAGTCTCTGCTATTTCTAAGGAAAAAAATCTCTTGCTCTGTAATGTCTGTATGTTGCATTTTTTTTCCATCTAATTCTAACCCTAATATTATAAAGTACTTCATTTGTACAAAAATGTTTCATATTTTTATTGCATCCTGTTAGTTAACAGCTGAGTTGCTTTTTCCTTTTTTTTTTTTTTTTTCCACCCTAAATGCACCTCAGCCAAGAAAGGTTGTGAATTCTAATGTTTAGCCAGCTTATCATTCTTCAGGAAGGTCTAGACAATGGTCAGGAAATAACTTTGGGAAACCCATTTCAAATAACCACAGAAAACTGTCTCTAAGAAAGATATCCCTCAACAGTAAATTCCTTTACTTTTTCTCTAGTAGTAAGGGCAGCCCAGGAAATCACATACTTCAGTAATACCAACTAAAGCAACTCAGCTATGCCTGACAAGGGCAAGTAACAGATGCATGAACCACCTTTTACAGGCTTCTCTCTTATCTATATATTTTGGTCACATCTACAAAAGCTTGAAATACATCTTTAATTGCATTCTAGGAGATGCCTTCATCAACAATCTAAAAATTAACACCGAAGAAGCATTTAGAAAATCAACACAGTGCCTAAGACATTGCACACAATGGAGTAGCAAAGCCACTATATATTCACAAGAACCACAACTGTGTCATTTAATAAACTATCCATTAGTGCTTGTTCACAAAAAGGTGTTAACAAGAAACCCACATTGCAAGCGATCCATAGTATTTTCCAAGAGTTTAAAAGTAATTTATCTCATAGAATGTAATTTAGCTGGCATGTACTAGTGAATCTGGCTTTTGATTTAAAAATGGTTTCATTTAGAGAACAGTGTTTCCAAGACTAGCATTATCTGAAGAAGAATGGAGAAACTCAGTCCTCAGATTTAAACTTCTCTTCATTTAGTGTTTTAAGAATGATTACTCTGTTGTTTCCCCAGCCTCCTTTTCAGCAGTGCCTCAGCAGTGACAGGTAAGCCATCACGAGTCACCTGCATGCATAAGCTCAAATCTAAACAGAAAGATCCTTTTGAGAGCAGCAACAAAACTTATCAATCCACAGGGAAGGATATAACAGCAGGTCCAGCCCCTGTGCAATGCAAGGCACCTAAGAGAGGAGGCTCATGACAGGTTTGTTATTTCTGATGCCACAATGCCCTACTTAGTGATCTGAATTGTTGATGTGATAACAATTATATGCAGCCATTCAAAAATATGGTAATTGCCACAATGTTTTTTTAAGTATGTTGTAAATTTCTGTTAATTTTAATTATATTAAAAATAAAAAAGTACCTGTGTTGGTCTTATGAAGCCTAAGATGATTTTTAAAGGGCCTATTTTAATTAATATCAATTTATTTACAGATCTTCTGAAGTGTGATTCTCATCTCAAAACCTGTT